CTAAAATGTGCTGACAAAACCAACTAAAGTTTACGCTATTAATATAACAATGCTAAGTTGGGACCATTCAAACATGAACTTCTATAAGTTTATTAGAAATAGATCTTATACATCCTGCTCCCTTGGCAAACATTCAGAGGTTAGATATGATGCTGACCCACGCGTCTTCTTGCCATGACGACCATCATGAAAATGGTGCTAATGTCAAGCAGATCACTGAGAAGACATTGCGGAATTTACATTCAAACATTAACGAATAATTAAAATAACTTATCAGACTATTGCAGGCCTACATGAATAACTAACGACAGGTGTAAAATCATAACCTGCACAACCAATATCGCTTCAGTAGTAAAACAAATGTTATGATGCCAATTATTTACACAACAATGGTCGATAACAGTGTTATTGTTATTAAACGTTACACATTGGTTACAGAATGAAGGCATCGCCAGTTACAGATAGGAAGTTAGAGACGACAGTGCGTGGCCCAGGTCTTTTACCATTGTACAGAAAATATAAACATTATAAACAAAATTGTTTTTAAATAATAATTTTAGGCGTATGGGCTAAGGTAGGATTGCACTTCAAAATTCATCCAAAGAAACGGAAGGGTCTGTTCACCGTTGTCTAGCTAGAAAACAACAATAGTAAATATCGGTACGGGGGAAAATGTCAAAGAAAATCAAACAGTGAATTTACATGGGGTTAAGTTATTGTGACATCCCATGCGCGTTTGCGGATATGTAGAATCCCTGGTTGATTTTAATGACACACATAAAGGATAAAACATTCAAACCCTCAAGAGAGTATATCATTATTATTAAAACGTTTTCCACTATGAAAGCAGTGTCGCTCAAACATGTGTTTGTTGTAAAACAAACAGGCTGAAAACAAATACTGTACAGTGCAGAATTTGGTAGCTACGCGCACATCGATCCAGTTGATTTTGCCTTTCATAAGTCTGGCTTTGTGCTCGTCATTTTTTGGTTATCACATACTTGTATTTAAGGGGTGTAAATTCTATTAACACGTTTTATAATACTCGATTATTTGTTCATTTACCGGTACTGCACGGCTGAACGGATGGATAGATGGAGGGAAAGATTTTCACCTGAAGAAGTTCACTGCATGAGCTTGTGCTCAATAAAATTTCCATCAGTCTTATAAATGGTGCCTGTTTTTTGGTTTTTTTTTTCTGTTTCTATTGCAGGTTGAACATGTATTACATAATGCATGGTAATACAGTACACACTGTAGCCTATAAAGTATAGGGACTAGACATGGAGTCTAGTTGGATACGCTACGTTTAAATAATTTTTAGAATTAAATTACCATAACCGAAGGGTGTATTGCTGGGAGACGTTCTATGTCATCAAGTGATGTACGGCAAATCATATCAGCAATGTCTATCTTTGAAACGCCGATACTCATCAAATCTACAATTAAAAGGCAAAAATAAATTATTAGATTACTTATCACAGAGCTTTAAAAATGTACATAAAGGTTTTTTTTTTATTTCTTTTAGGCACATGGCTAAGGATTACCAATAGCGACTTAACCACTGCCCTATTAGATAGGTTGTAATCCCTTCACATGACAAACATGATGCCCTACATAATTTTATAACGAGGCTTATTGAGTGGAGTTGTTCTGTCGTGGAAAAAAATTCTGGAATCTGACAGGACTTGAACTAAGGACCCTGGGAATAGAAGGCGAGCATCTTAACTACCAAGCTATATTCAACTCCACTGACGGTGCATGCAATCTGAATTATACAAATACTGTAGCACATAACAATTAAATCAACAATATTATTCTACTTAATTCCTTAAGTACTTCTGATTAAGCATGCATTGTCACCTGTCGAGCTTCCTTGTGATATTCTTGGGTGTTGCAGTAAAAACACTGTTTCGCACCTAACAAAACATTGGTATTGAATTCAGAAGCTCAACAACAAAAAATCCTTTCATAAATATTAGTTTGAAATACAAATCCAATGCAAGGACAGACCATCAATTAAATAGGGTAAGCTAACCAACATCATTTAATTGTCATCCATTTTATGCTAACAATAATTTTTTTTTAAATTGGGCATATAAAACTGCATATCAACATAAATTTACTTTAGGTGTGCGATGTTGTTCGACATTATACATGTTAAAATACTGTACTCACCACGACTGATTTGTGGAATACAAGTTAGACCATCAGTAATTGGTTTTTTTTTTTACTGCATACTGTATTACTAATTAGGTTTATTATAATATGTAAATTAATGCGGCATGCAATACTAATAACATCAGTAATTACTACTAAAAATAGTTTAAGAAAAAAAATCGCAGTCGATAAATTCACCTATTTCATATAAGGTTAATTATGCCGAACACTCATCAAATCTACATTTACAGCTGACCACAACACAATAAATTATTACGTTTTTAAAAATGTTCATTCTAATATAATTGTCTGCAGTACCCGTAATAGAAACAGCTTTTGCTTTATACATACCGAATACATCAGGTAATTCAGGAGCAAATTCTAATAATTCCGGCTGAAGAAACATGGCAGATGAATTTGAAAGTGATCCACCTCCCAATCCAGTCTTGCTGACAAGTGGTGGAAACATCTGCTCAGCCATATTAACTAATTGTTTATTATATTCTATACCATCTGAAATATATTATCCATCTCGTTAATATCTTTAAACTGTATGTGACTGTTGCAATATCTCATCAAACATAATTGCAGTCTGCTGTCTCTACGTAGAATTCAGTGTTTAAGTATCGACTGATCTGGTTAACTAATTCTTTGAACCGCGGTTGGTCATTAATAATAAAGATGTTGGCATCAACAGGCCTCGCTTTGTTGTCAATGGGATGATCTTCATGAACTACTCATCGTCTTATCCTCACCTTTTGTAGTTATCGATTGTTGACCTTGCGCCTTACTTTTGAATCTTATTGAATGTATAGCGGCGCTATTTACGAATCGCAATTCAGTTAGGTAAGAAGTAGCTTAGTCCTTCATAACTCAAAGAAATTATTTTTATTGGCCTGTGTCTTAAAAGCAGAAGATTGTTAAAACCA